TGTATTAGATTAATGAGCAAAACCAATACCAATACTGGTACAGTTTTGGTCTTGGTCTAGTTTTGTTCATTACTAAAATTTAACCATTCTTATAGTCGTTAAAACTTATGCACCTTTCAAAATAATAAAAATACTTTATTTTTCAACGGATGCTTGGGAGTTACAAAAGGTTAGTTTTGCGCTATTAGAGATGTCTGCAAAATCTAATTGAATTACCTAATATGAAACCTTTGCCCAATTTTACGATTTACCAAATACAAAAAATAATATCGTAATTTGGAAATAGTTGTGGCAAGATAAACCTAATGTAACTGATCTCTCCGCTATTGATATGTTAAAAGACGCGATAGGTTACCGTACAGCGTCTTTTCTAAACAATCCTTTAGCAACTGGAAATGAAGGTAGAAACCCGGCTGTGAAGTCAGGTACCACGATAAAAAGTCATAGAAGACTTTTATAAATAAGTAGTTGATAAAACAAAACATCCAAGAAGAAGAATATATTTTTGTTTTATAGTAAAGTATTAAAACTTCACAAATTGTATTTTATCTACAGTTCATATTCCCTATCTACCATCATGCGCTAGGTCCTAAACAAAATGAAAGAAGGAAACCATGGATAACAAATGAGATTGTAGGATTAATAGGAGAAAGGCAGAAAACCAAAAACAGGACAGATGAAGAAAGGCAAAAAAAGATGAGGCTATAAAGTGGGAAATAATTAGGAAGTGTAGGGCAGCTAAGGAACAGTGGATTGATAGGATGTGTAAAGAAGTAGAAGAAAAGCATATAGTAGGTAAAACCGATGAGGCTTATAATATAATTAAAAGGAATTTTAGAGATGTAAGGTATAGTAGTAATAATATAAGAAACGAGACAAGGGTCATTTTGATAGAAAATGAGGAAAAGGCAAATAGGTGGAAAGAATATTTAGAGAACCTATATACGTAGGCCATGAGTTAGGAGATGTATTAGAGAAGGAAGATAGTGTGGAGATAGATGAGCTAGGTTAACCATAATGAGAGAAGAGTTCGATATAGCATTAAAAATACAGGGGGAAATCTTAAAACATGCAGGACGAGAGGTTAGAGATCGTATGTTTAAGCTAGTTAGTCACATTTAGGAGACGGGGAAAGTTCCAGAGGATTATAAAAGGAACATGGTACTAACAATACCTAAAAATAGAGGCGCGGATAGGTGCGAGACATGTAGAACAATTAGCTTAAGTTCCCATGCGTCAAAAATCTTAACTAGAATTGTACAGAGGAGGATGCAAAAAAGACGAAAGAATATTAGGGGAAAATCAATTTGGGTTTAGAAGAAATAGAGGAATGCGGGAGGCCATTCTAGCTTTATGGGTAAAAATAGAGAAAACTGTAGAAAAAGGAAAGAATGCGTACATAGGATTTGTAGATTTGTGTATTTGACAATGTTAATTGGGACAAGACCTTAAATATACTTAAAAAAGTAGCGATGAGCTACAAAGATAGAAGCGTGATACTTAGTTTGTATAAGGAGCAACAGGCAGTTATAGAGCTGGGACTGCAACGTAGAGAAGTAAATATTAGGAAGGGAGCCAGACAGGGATGCACACCGTCACCACTACTTTTTAATCTATACTTCGAAGACGCGATCAACATCATCAAAGACAGTACAACTGTAGGAATAGATATACAGGGGCAAAATATTAGTATGCTTAAATTTGCAGATGATATAGCAGTATTAGCGGCTAGCAAGGAAGAGTTAGAAATAGCTTTAAATAAAATGGAAGCGGTATTGATAAAACAGTACAATTCCAAATGGAAATAAAAAAATGTAGTTTCCAGATTATTCCTTGTTCTATGTGAGAAAATGCTGACAAAAAAATGTGATGTAATTTCCATATTCGGTGACAATTTTACCTCATCTCTTCATATTACTAACTGAGGGAGAAGCTTATTGGTTGTTAATACTTTCAACTTGACATATCTAAAGCAATTCTTGAAAAAAGGTCCCGATAGACAAAATACGACAGATATTTTTATTATGGTTCCGTTTAAGCATTCTGATCTAAAGANAAGGAGGTAAATGGAAATGTATTATTGTATAGCAGCTGTCCACGCGGATGCATCGCTCACTCAAGTACGAGAGAGAGGCAGATGTCGAACGCTGCCGAACGCGGAGGCCGATTGTGCCACTTTGTCGCTCGTTCCGCGCTCAAGCCTTAAATGGAACGCCTCAGAGCGAGGTAACGCCGCATGAGTCATGTTTTTTCGTGCGTGCAGCCGGCTCTAACGAATTATAAGACGTTGTCACGTCAATACTGGTATGCAAGGGAAGAAAAAGTAGGGAAAGAGCGAATATAAAGATAGGAGACGAACCATTAGAGGAGGTGGCTGATTTTAAATATGTAGGAAGTCATATAAGTCAGGACGGAAGGAGTAGTAGGGAAATAAAGCAGAGGATAGCGCAGGGTCGAGTTATCATCAATAAAAAGAAATCATTTCTATGCTCGCGAACGGTTAATTTAGAAATTCAAAAAAGATTGTTAAAGGTGTATGTTTGGAGTACGGCGCTGTACGAGTGAGAAACATGGACAAGGGGCTCGGCGGAAAAGAAAAGCTTAGAAGTGTTCGAAATGCGTGGTGTTACAGGCGAATGTTGAGGATACCGTGGATAGAGAAGGTTAGAAATGAAGAGGTATTAGAAAGAATAGGAGAACAGGATTTTATAGAAGTCAGTCAGTTCGCTAATAGTTAAGGATATGGGTTGCTCTAGCTTTAGGAAAATGCGAAAATTAGCTCAGGATAGGAAAGAGCGGAGTTGCGTGTCTAACCAGTCTTAGGACTAACGACCTTATGATGATGATTATCACACCTCCTCCACAAAGCGTTTGGTATAATCTTTCTTTCATCTTTCTTACACAGCAATATGTTGGTTTAATTTATATCTTATTAAGAAAATAGTTTATAAAGTACGTGTCAATACAAGTATATACGTTTTTATTTTCAGGGTCTAAATGGCTGTGTATCATATTGGGTATGAGTGCATCCACTTGGACACTTTCAGAAAGTATTCCAAACAGGAATGCGGCAAAAATAAGGGAAGTTTTTAGATGGAAGCAGATAGAATTCGACTATCCTTCCGAAAGTGCAAGGCAACAGGCAATCGACAATGGAGATTTCATACCTGGACGTTCCCTGCCAATTGACGTAGATGTATATTACGGAAGTAAGTTAATACGTACATTCCTTTTTACAGGGAGATTTTTAACGGATTAATTTTAAATTGGCAAATATCTACCAATATTTTTTTACACACTCTTATCATTACATTCATCAATTCTAATAGTTCAATTTCCGTACATAACAGTTGTTTCGGCACAAAAGAGTATTTCCGTCATTTTGTATAT